CGACGTTGTGTAATGGTCAACAAGTTCGTCTCGCTCGATCAATTACGACTGTGTGAGTTCGATCCTCACAGGGTGCTCCACACTTTCGGCCTTGTGCCACAGCTAACAAAAATCGACATCACTGTGATCGCTTAGCAAAAGATCAAAAGCATGTCTTTAGTCAATTTTGTCGCGCCAATCCATCAAGAGGAGAATTCCTGTATGCCTTGAAAATCACCATTCAAAATACTCGATTTTACATGGGTTCGAAAACAACCTACGTAACTACACAGGGAGACAAACCCGTTAACCATCGCATTCTTTTTTTTTATTTTAATTATTATTATACTAAAATATATAGCTATTTACTAAGTTCTACACTTACATTAGAATTCACTATCTTCTTTATCCCTTCAAGACATGGGCAATCATGGCTCTCCACAACTTCCTATCTCTTGTGGTCCTTAGCAATGTTTCAGCCTTTCCGTTCTCCATTTACACAAGCTCATCAGGACGGTGGCACGCTTCTGTCGCCTATCTCTCATCTCCTCGATATGCCCTGTGAGTGTTGACTTTTCCAAGCATTCTTTCTCTCCAAGAAACTCCCTCTTTCTGATTCGGAGTATGTGTTCTTTTTTGGCGCCATTTTCTTTTTCGTTGCTTGCTCGCTTCGTCCATGGATTTGGTTTCGTTTCGTTTCGTTTGTTTTACGGCACATCAACCTCAATGAGTTATTTAATGCCAGCAGGATTTTTATTGCTGGTAATATTTATTTTTTTTTTAAATGTTGTATCTCGTATTTTCGAGATAACAGAGGGAAATAAATAAGGAAGACAAATCTCGTAGGTAAGTAATGAAATAGAAGGTTTACTACACAAAGGTACAGTTAGCAAATGATGTAATGCTAACTTTCCTCAACTCCGCTTATTTCCATAAACGGACGATTCCATTCATTTATGTCCTATATGATAGATAGATAGATGATGAACAGAGATAGATAGATAGATAATGAACAGATAGATAGATAGATAGACAGATAATGAACAGAGATAGATAGATAGATAGATAGATAGATAGATAGATAGATAGATAGATAGATAGATAGATAGATAGTTCTTTTTTTATAGATACAAGTATTTAAGTAAATGCTCTGTTTATAAACAGTATTAAATAACATTTACCGGCCTGAATGTCCGAGAAATTTTCATAGAAAATATTCTATACGGAACCGTCATTTACGCTGACGTGCCTTAACCGTCTCGGCCACAAAGGACGAATATTTTCTATGAAAATTTCTCGGACATTCAGGCCGGTAAATGTTATTTAATACTGTTTATTATAAACAGAGCATTTACTTAAATACTTGTATCTATAAAAAAGAACGTTAAACATAAAAATGTCTTTAATAAATAAATTGTCGGACTTTGTCTATTTCTTAATATAGATAGATAGATAGATAGATAGATAGATAGATAGATAGATAGATAGATAGATAATGAACAGATAGATAGATAGATATGCCCTATATGACATAGCATAAAGGTCGAATTTTGGAAAATTGATTTTAAAATTTAACAAAATAAAGAAATTAAATTTTAAGGATATGTTTTATTGGTGACTAGATATGCCAAAACATTATGGAGCAAAGATCGAATTTTAGGAAATCCATTCTCTCAAGGAAAATAAAAGTATATTTTTAAAAAAGCAAAAAAAATTTAAGGAAATATGTTTTTAAGGATGGCTTGACAGACCAAACAGTTATGACGTAAAGATCGAATTTTTGGAAATTAATTTAAAAAAAAAGATAACATTTTTAAAAAGTGAATTTTTAAACATATGTGTTATAAGAGCGCCTAGATAGATCAAAAACTTATGGCGTTAAGATTGAATTTTTGAAAATTCATTCTACAAGGAAAATAAAAATAAAAAGACACTTTTTTAAAGGATATGTGTATTTAAGCGTAAAGATCGATTCTGAAAAACTCATTCTAAAAGAAAGAAAAATTTAAAAAAAAAATACATTTATATATAGTGATTTTCTAAGTATAGCTTACAGGCTTACAGGTGGCACAAAGCCGAAAGTAGGGGGCACCCAGTGAGGATCGAACTCACTCGTAATGGATTTAGCAAGACAAGCTTTCTTAAACATTACACCACGTCGAGGTGCCCGAAAAAAAAAAAATATATATATATATATATATATATATATATATATATGTGTGTGTGTGTGTGTGTGTGTGTGTGTGTGTGCGCGTGTGCGCGCGCGCGTTATATGTGACTAGATAGGTAAAAAAAGTTTATTGAATAAATGTAGAATTTTGGAAAATTCATTCTTCAAGCAAAATAAAATGAATTTTTAATTTTCGCGTTTTAATAAAGGCCGAAAACTTATAAAGTTCGAATTTCCTTGTTAGAAAAGATGTAATAAAAAAAAAGAAACATTTTTAAAGAATATCTGTTTTTTTCAGTTTCTTTAGACATGTCAAAAGTTCGTAATGATTGAACCTGAGAATATCCAGGCTTACGGCCATACCACTTTGAAACACCTGTTCTCGTACGATCCCCCGACGTTAAGCAACGTCTAGCCTGGTCAGTACCCAGATGGGTGACCGCTTGGGAATACTAAGTGCTGTAAGTTTGGATGTGCGGGTGGTGTAATGGATAATAGCTCGGAATTGTTAATCAGAGAGCCGAGTTCTAATTCCAGTCGGATTCGTTATATTCACTTATGCTCAAATATTCTTGGGAAAAGTATGAATCCACCTCTTCCCCCAGCTATGGGTTAATTAGAAAGACTTGTGTCATTATTATTATTATCATTATTATTGTGTCAAAAAACAAATTCTTACAATCTAAAAATATTTTCTGTCTTTAAATGACCTGCAGCAAGTTGATATGCCATAGAAAACAAATCAATTATGAGTAAATTAATTCTAACAAGGAAAAGAGATAATTTTAAAAAATATATTTTAAAGTGTATTTTATGGGCGAATAAACTTATGACGTGAAGATAGAATTTTAGATAAACCATTCTAACAAGGAAAGGAAAGATGATTTTTTTTAAATTAAATTATAAATTTAATACGTGTTATGGGGGTTAGATATATCAAAAACATAATGTAACGATGGAATTTTGGAAAATTAATTCTCACAAAATGAGAGAAAACAGATTTTAAAAAATAACATTTTAAGGACATGTGTTTTAACGGTGACTAGATAGAACCCAAAACATCTGTGCTTACCTTTGAGAACGTGGGGTAAATATATATGGGAATGACTTCAGTTTGAAAATACATTTGTAAGTGTGTTTTATGGTTGACTAGATAGGTTCAAAAACGTAAAGATTGAATTAAAGAAAAGTCATTCTAACAAAAAATGGTAAGATATATTTTTAAATGCAATAATAAGGATATGTGTTTTCTGGGTGACTAGATACGCCAAAATGATATTGTGTAATGATGTAATTTTTGGAATATTAATTCTCACATGAAAAGGGAAAATATAAATTAAAAAAAAAACAAAAAACATTTTAAGGAATATATGTTTTAACGTTGACTAGTTCGACCCAAAATCAAATCTACTTACCTTTGAGAATATGGAGTAAAAATATATATGGGAATAACCTCGTTTTGAAAATCACATGTCTTCAAAATTTTATTTGAACGTTCGTGATTTTCCTTTCTTTGCAGAGATTCGCAATTATAATGTCACAGAATTCATAACGTTAGATATAAACCATTTATTTATACGCATTAACTGATAAGTAAGTTATTAAAACAGTTTATTTCGCGTTATTTTACTAAATTGTACGCTGTATTTTTTTTTAAATTATTTATCTTTTTGTATATAGAAGTGCGCATGCGTTTATATCATTGTACATGGGTGAGAACATCTCGTGTTATTTCTCAAGAATTTTCTGTGTTTCCTTCTCTGGCAATGAAAATGAACTGGTTCGTTTCTCAAGACAATTCGGTGTTGCCGGTGAAGTCACTGAAAGTAATGTTTGTCCTAGAGATGCTGATGAGGTGTTAAACCGCTGACATCGCATTAAAAAGAAAAATCCTCATTTTCAAGTTGCTATATATATATATATATATATATATATATATATATAGAATAATTCTTGGGCTTTTTGTTCGTAAATTTTGTTTCCAATCACAATGCAGATACGTACGGTGGCTGTCATTTGCTGCAATGGGTCACTTGAGAATACCAGAAGTAAGTTATCGTATAGAGGCGAACTTCTTTCAAACGACCGAATAAAAAAATATAAACGCGAAAAGGAGGGTGGAGCAAAGAAAGATTTGGAAATAAAGATTGGCTGAAGGAAAAAGATTGCTTTTTCTTTCTTTTTTTCATCTTTACTTAGTAATACTTTCTTTTCTTTCCCCTTTATTTTATTTTATTATTTTTCTCTATATTTATGTTTTCTTTAACTCTTCGTAAGATTTTATTTGTTTTTCCTATCTAGGGTTTCGGTGGCCGACCCGCTTGTAGGCGCGCGGCCAGCCGTTACCTTGCCTTCGCTTTTCGTGTTTCTTCTTGTTTTCAATCACGTCTTAAGCGCGCTTATGTTTAAATTCTCATAAATGGGAAAATAATGTAGCAGAAATAATCATATTAGCATCAATAAAACTGCCAACTCCCACGGAGATACTTTCAGATTCGATTTCAAAATCAGTTAAAGGTGAGGTTAACTTGAATTTGAGTAAAGGTGGAAATAATTATTCAAGAAGAAAAATTTGGAAGTGGGGAATTATTATCCAATACAAAAGTATTTTTCTGTTATCATTTAAAAATTTTATTTATAATTTTATATTGTCTGAATTTCATAGGTCAAGCATTATTATTCATATTTGACTCGTCTTTCTTTCATCTTATTTCTCTTGCTTGTTTACACCTTGTAGCAATAAGACGTAATAGTCTGAAATTGTGTGAATTTCTTAGATGAAGCCTTGTCATTATTATTCATATTTGACTCGTCTTTCTTTCATCTTATTTCTCTTGCTTGTTTACACCTTGTAGCAATAAGACGTAATAGTCTGAAATTGTGTGAATTTCTTAGATGAAGCCTTGTCATTATTATTCATATTTGACTCGTCTTTCTTTCATCTTATTTCTCTTGCTTGTTTACACCTTGTAGCAATAAGACGTAATAGTCTGAAATTGTGTGAATTTCTTAGATGAAGCCTTGTCATTATTATTCATATTTGACTCGTCTTTCTTTCATCTTATTTCTCTTGCTTGTTTACACCTTGTAGTAATAAGACGTAATAGTCTGAAATTGTGTGAATTTCTTAGATGAAGCCTTGTCATTATTATTCATATTTGACTCGTCTTTCTTTCATCTTATTTCTCTTGCTTGTTTACACCTTGTAGCAATAAGACGTAGTAATCTGAAATTGTGTAAATTTCTTAGATGAAACCTTGTCATTATTATTCATATTTGATTCGTCTTTCTTTCATCTTATTTCTCTTGCTTGTTTACACCTTGTAGTAATAAGACGTAATCGTCTGAAATTATTTGAAATTCTTAGATGAAATCTTGTCATTATTATTCATATTTGACTCGTCTTTCTTTCATCTTATTTCTCTTGCTTGTTTACACCTTGTAGTAATAAGACGTAATTGTCTGAAATTGTGTGAATTTCTTAGATGAAGCCTTGTCATTATTATTCATATTTGACTCGTCTTTCTTTCATCTTATTTCTCTTGCTTGTTTACACCTTGTAGTAATAAGACGTAATAGTCTGAAATTGTGTGAATTTCTTAGATGAAGCCTTGTCATTATTAATCATATTTGACTCGTCTTTCTTTCATCTTATTTCTCTTGCTTGTTTACACCTTGTAGCAATAAGACGTAATAGTCTGAAATTGTGTGAATTTCTTAGATGAAGCCTTGTCATTATTATTCATATTTGACTCGTCTTTCTTTCTCCTATTTTTATTATTCATATTTGCTTATTTCTCTTGCTTCTTTACACCTTGTAGCAATAAGACGTAATAGTCTGAAATTGTGTGAATTTCTTAGATGAAACCTTGTCATTATTATTCATATTTGATTCGTCTTTCTTTCATCTTATTTCTCTTGCTTGTTTACACCTCCTAGTAATATGACGTAATAGTCTGAAATTATCTGAAATTCTAAGATGAAGCCTTGTCTTTATTATTCATATTTGACTCGTCTTTCTTTCATCTTATTTCTCTTGCTTGTTTACACCTTGTAGCAATAAGACGTAATAGTCTGAAATTGTGTGAATTTCTTAGATGAAGCCTTGTCATTATTATTCATATTTGACTCGTCTTTCTTTCATCTTATTTCTCTTGCTTGTTTACACCTCCTAGTAATATGACCTAATAGTCTGAAATTATCTGAAATTCTAAGATGAAGCCTTGTCTTTATTATTCATATTTGACTCGTCTTTCTTTCATCTTATTTCTCTTGCTTGTTTACACATTGCAGCACTAAGACGTACTAGTCTAAAATTGTGTGAATTTCTTAGATGAAGCCTTGTCATTATTATTCATATTTGACTCGTCTTTCTTTCATCTTATTTCTCTTGCTTGTTTACACCTTGTAGCAATAAGACGTAATAGTCTGAAATTGTGTGAATTTCTTAGATGAAGCCTTGTCATTATTATTCATATTTGACTCGTCTTTCTTTCATCTTATTTCTCTTGCTTGTTTACACCTTGTAGCAATAAGACGTAATATTCTGAAGTCGTGTGAATATCTTAGATAAAGCATTTTCACTAATATTAATTTTTGACTCGTCTTTCTTTCGCCTTACCTCCCTTGTTTGTTTACAGCTAGTAGTAATATGACGTAATAGTCTGAAGTTGTCTGAATTCTCTGGCAGACGACCATACATTCTGTCTTCTTATAGTTATTTAATCCTCTCTTCTCGCTTTCATTTTCTACTCTGTCGCGAAGTGTTCTTGTAGTTTTCCTTCTAAGGTTACCGTCAACATAATGTCGTCCATGCATCTTAAGTTGTTAAGCTTATGGCTGCCGATAATAAATCATAGTAGGTCTTCTAGTTCTCTTCGGGTCGTCTCGGTGTATAGGTTAAATAAATCCGGTGATAAGACTTACTCCTTTTTCTATTTGTTGTACTTGCTGAATTCGTTTTCCTATCCGGATTTATGTAGATTATTTCCAATAAATGAAGCGGGTTTCCTACAAGATCTCTCTTTCCTCATTGTGTACACTAAAAAAGTAAACTGTCTTTTCCTGATGTCAAGTATAAATTTCATTTTTGTTTCCTTTTTGTTTCCGTTTACTCTAAAAGTTCATCGTTGCTCACATATTCAATGCATAGTATACTCAGTATCCTTCTGTAGAGCCACATTTCTGTTGCTTCAAGTCTCTTCTTCATCTTTGAGAAGATTGTCGTCACATTCACTGTCATATAGGAAGGCAGATATCAAGTAATATTTCAGTAATTTTTTCTTTGTTTCTAACGAAATTTTTCTGTTTCTTAATACTCTGCTTAGTTTTTGGAAGGCATCTTTGGCTATCTCAATGCCCCTTTGAATTTCAATGTTACACTTTCCGTCCTTCAAATTACTGTACTTTTTTGATTTTGGCATCCCCGATTTGTAATTTTCATGTTGGGCTCATCATTTTTGCTAA